TTATGCTGGTAAAATGGAACAGCAAAAATGATAATTTGGTTGAAGCATCGTTTAGTGATCTTTGTAATCAAGTTTCACTCAAATCTGACCTATACCCAGGAGGAACAGCAATAGACAGATAAAGGAGTTTTTTCCTGTTTGTTTTCTGATACGTTTCTGCTTTCTTCGCATTTGTTGTTATTAATGCTTTCCAGTTTGAGACCAGAAGGAGAGAAAAATCACTAGGAGCTCAAAAAGAGCACATGGAATAATATGACAAATCGTGTCTCTGTCATGTGGTAAGTTTGCATTTTAACATCTATACCTCCCTAAATTAGAGATTCACCAGAGATCATCTAAAATACTTTATTTTTCTCAAGTTAGCAATACTTACAATTACTGGTACCCAAAGAGATAAAAGTAGGAATAAAAGAAAAAAAAATAGTAAGAGTAGTTCTGGAAATGAGGTGATCCTTGAGCCGGTTAGTTTAAAAAGACAACAGTTTTATGGCGTAACCAGGGAGCACAGATGTAGGAATTACCAGAAGTCCGTCAGTCATAAACGCGTAGCACCAAAACACTCTACATTTGAAAATATTTATTTGTTAGTCTGACGATCATCCGACTAACAAACTTTAAAACGCCTTCCAGCTTGGCTTAAAACTAACTCTCTCCTTCGTGCTACCCTTTTCTATTCAAATTAGCTCTGTGTTACACTGCATTCAAATTACAGCTGGGTCGGTCAATGGGTCAAGCTCCCACGACTGATTCAGTCACCAATCTGACAGGTCAAGAGGATCATCACTCACTTTTACATGACACTGTTTAAATTTCAGGCTAAGACCACACATTCTTGGCATTCTTGCGTGAAATTACCATGAGAAACACTGCTGTCGCACAATGACAGAAAAAAGCTCATAGATAATATAAAATACAACTACACAGCACTTTGCTATCGACACACGCAAATCTCACAAGGTGATTTTCCTACACAGACACGGCGATGCAGTCTGCTTTTCTATGTAAATCACTTTCAAGTCATGTCTGAGGCTATAACTCATGAAAGCTACAGGACACGGATACACAAAGGGACTGAGCCTCTTTGTGTTTAAGAGGTCCAAACATATATATTGGTTTAAATCAAATACGAAGGTGCAGTCCGCTACAATAAATTATTAACATATGAAGATCAGCGAGGAACAGATTCCCACCTGTGTGCTTCCTCCGTTTTCTCCTCGGTCTCGGTCTTAAGCATCAGGAGATGACGCAGGATGGCAGCAATGAGCCGGAGCTGGTGATCGTCTTCCTGTCAAGCCGAGCACACAAAAACACCGAGTCCAACCAGGGGTTTTGTTTATGCACAGCAAAGCAGTACGGTAAAAATACCTACGCTACAAGGGCATGAGGCTGGAAGCAAAGGCTAAAACCTTCAGTTAATCAATCATCCGTGCAAGTACGCATCAGTGGCACGGAATAAAGTGGCTATTTTTATTCTAATATTAAAGTAGCTACTGCTATAACTACCGGGATATGCTACCATTGTGTAACTGAGTAGGAATAAAATAAAAAGGCATGAAGGGGTCACTATGTGTGTCATTTTCATTTGTTTCTCCCTCCTATCAGCACCATCTACCATTTAGCTCCCGCAAGTTTCTTCTTTATTTCCTTTATTAACTTTTATTCACGTCACTAAGTGACAAATTAGGGAGGGCAGTTAAAAGTGCCTAAATATAAATATCAAGATTGACACCAATACATCAAGAAAATAAGTAAGAAATTGCTGTGTTGGTACTTTTGCTGATGATATTTTGAATATGAGAATGGGGTGATTCTCAGCTCAGCGCAGAGCTGCAAGTATCTAGGCTGAAAGTAAAAAACTAGTTTAACAACAAAAGCGTAACCTGAGAACTCAGGAGTACGCGAGGAGGAGTTACTGGTCTAATAGTGACAGGAGCAGAGAGGCTGTGGTGAGACTGAGGAAGAGGAAGTTTGGATTTCTAAGAGGAGAGCAGGGCCAAATGGGAATCTTAAAACTAAACGTAGCGTCAGCAGGACTTACACTGCCTCAGGTGCTGCCTTTGCAGTCGCGTTTCTCCTTTGAAATGCCTCCTCAGACAAGACGATCAAGTTTGACAGTGAATCAGATGCAAAAATTATCATACAATAAGTACATCATGAATGAAAAGCATGTGTACCAAGTATCATCCTTTTTTCAAGTCATGTTCATACTGAGTGGCCTGTGTGTGTGTGGGTGGAAGGACTTACTGATTCTGTAATAAAGGAGCAATGAGCCTAACTTCAGACTGGTCTAAACACAGCAGGACAAATTTTCCTTAATGATGGTCAAAGTGGCAGCCTCAAACTTTTTCTGATAGGCTTCACTTTTAAAGCCAATAAGATTTTTATCAGGCGTTAACATCTTTAATATATAATATTATTCCAGCTCAATTTTATTTGAAGGTCAGGGCAAAAATCATCAGAAAACATATTGACTTAACATTGCTGTGCAATTTTAGAACTATGGTCTTTAAGGGCCGTTTTAGACTGTGATCATGTAACAATGTTTCATAGCTGTGATCAGCTTTTGGGGAGATTTTTTTACAGAGGCAAACACATTTATCCTTCAGGTTTTTCCACTTCTTCGCATATTCCCTCACATCCTTTTTTATAGTTTCGTAGTCTCCTTACAGGAATCTGCTAAACTTTGTGAGTAATTATATTTATGCTATGATTATTATTGCTTATACCGAGTTGATGACCGTTATTCGCTCATTGATAATGTCAAAAACTGTGGCAAAAATAAGCTGGGAATGCACAGGAGGATTCGACGGGGCTTAACTGGCCAATAGCACTGGGTTAAAAGGGGTTTCCAGTTACTTCTTAAGTTATGGTATAGATTTCCTGCAAAGGTCTAAATCAGGCATAACGGAGGGGCAGCTTGTTTCACACAGTGAATGAACACATTCTCTGTTGTAGTGCTGCACCTGAGATAAATAAGGATTATTCTGACTGAGAATCATGCAAAGCTACCAGAGGAGCTTTGCATAAAAGCCATTCTTACTGATTTTTTTTTTTTTTTTTACTCAGGCTGAGTTAATGTGGTTACACACTCACAGTAAATCACTGAGAGGAAGAGCGACTTCCTGAGAACCAGCAGTTCATGACAGATGCAATTTGGCTGCTCTTGGGAACAGCATATATGATCTTTGTAGTTCAGATTAAGACTGTAGTGCAATTAGTCACAAACGATTAGCACCGAGTGAGCCTTTACTGTAACATTGTTTTGTATAACCACCGCATACTCACCTCACCACCAGTTTCAGACAGTGTGAGGTTGAACATGGCTTTGAGTGCTTCCATCGCTCGCTCATTATTCTCTGCAGGCATGGACACAGCTTGCGGATCTGGACGGGCAGCTTCATACGGACCAACCCAGCGCACATCCAGCGTGTGCTCCAACACCTCTGTCAGCAGTCTAACAGCATGCCACTCTCTCCTCAAAAGCCCCCTCACGGGAGGTTGGAGGGCAGACAGCAGGAAGAGAAGGCGCAGTGTGAACAGGCCCACCTCATGGGACCACGTACGGGCCGTGGCCAGGCTGGCACACAGACCACGAACCAGCTGCACATCCACGCAGACCTGCTGAGCCGCAGGGCTGTTATATACAACGTTGCAAAGGCACTTTAGGGCCTCCACCACCACCCTCTTGTTCTCCTCTGACAGTGTCTGTTCCTGAGAGCTTTTCTTGTCAGCATCCTGTTCCTCTCCAGCCCGCAGCCTCGCCATCCCTGCCAGGGTCAACATGCCTTCCTTGGTGGCTACAGGAGCCAGGACACGCTTATCTCTGGACATGATGCGGAGGGTCTCCAAGCATGTCTTCTGACAGCTGGGCTGCACCTGTCTCCCGAGGACTGTGAGCACACCGTGGCACAGCTTCTGCAAGGACGCACAGAGACACACACACACAGTCACTATCACACATTTCATGTAATAAGAAGCTGCTGGGCTAGATGGTACTCACACTCCGCAGGGTTTCCTCCTTTGGGTCAAAACTGAAGGTTTGGGTGTTCTGCAACAGAAAGGATGCTCAGTGTCGACAGCAAACAAGATCGACTCGTGTCAAGCGTGCACTATCACATATTAGAAGCTATGAAATGGATTTAAAGTTGGAAACCTCAGAGAAACATGCAAAGTTTTCACGAATGATGCATGATTAGCAGGCATGATTAGCATTTTTAGCTCTACTCTTGGCGCTGTAAATAAGGCCATATTGCATACTTTTGCTTCGCTCAATGTGTGTGTTCTTTTTTCTCTGCTAATGCGAAACCAAGTTTCATTTGACGGAGCCAAACATTTCGGCTCAGCAGCCCAGAAAGATGTTCATGTCACCCAGAGCTAGCTGTCTGGCTAGGTGGCTAGCTAACGTTAGCACGGGCGTTTGTTTTGGTTGAAGAAAAACGAGCAAACGCGCGACTCACCTCTACATTATACTGCTGCAAGAGCTTCTCGATGTCCTCTTCGCTGGCAGTTTCAAGCTGATATAAAATATTATTCAGATCCATGGGGGCTACCTGAAAAGCTCGGAGAGTTACCGGTGAGTGATGTGCAGCCACAGCTAGCTGGATGACAGGCTAACTTGTTTCAGGGCTGCTACTGTCAACAGGGAAACTCCCCTGACTGCCTCCATCAGCTGCAGCAGAGACCTGCTCCCACTTTATCTATTCACATATTCCAGTAAACAGTCCGATGATGGCAAAATGTGTCATAGGGAGAGCCGCAGTTTATCTGGCAGGATACATGACGTGTATTTTGCGTATAAACAAAGACGTGTAGAATGAATGAATCCAAGTAACTTTAATAAACATTTAGAAAATTGGAAAAACTAAAGAAAACCCCCCAAAAAAACCCCGTGAAATTCTTAAATTCATTTGGAATTTGTGAAAACAAATTTTGATCAATCAAAGTGTGTCGGATCTGGAAAAATACCAGTTTGCTGACCAATAAACCCCCATAAAACCGGACTCTGTCTCTGACATTTTATTTTCAAGTCATGTTTTCTCTCATCGAAAAAATAACGAGGAAAAATTCGTTCTCATTTTGGTCATTTTCGGGTTTTGATATTATTAATTTTATTTAATTTTAGTTTCCAAAGTAGTTTTTCTTGTTTTAGATTAATTTTATTGGTTTTACTGCTCATCAGTGAAACATGTTCATCAGTACCGCATCAGGGTTGCAATCAATTATTTTTTAAAATATTTTTTCAGTTCACAAAGTCATCTCAGTTATTTTATTTAAATTTTAGGTCTAACTGTAACATCAATAGATAGACTGTGGTCATAGCGGATAAGTGACAATACCCACATATGATAGCTGGCACTAAAGGGTCTAAAGTGTGCCTTACACCATTACATCGCCAGCTACCCGAAACACTGATCCAAGGCAGGATAGATCCATGCTTTCATGTTGAATACACCAAAGTCTGATGCTACCATCCATATTTTGCTGCAGAAATCAAGACTCATCAGATGAGCCAACATTTTTTTTCAGTCCTCTATCATCCAAATTTTGTGAGCCCATGTCATCTGTAGTCTCAGTTTCCTGTTTGTAGCTTACAGGAGTGGCATCAGTGGTCTTCTGCTGATGTCGCCGCTCGTATGCTGAAGATGCTTTTCTGCATACCCTGATTTAAAAGAGTGTTTATTTGAGTTACTGTTGCTTTCATGTAACTTGAAGCAGTCTGACCTCTGATGCAATCAAAACATTTTCACTCAGAGAACTGCTGATCGTTATTTTCAAACTTTTGGACCATTTTCTCCACACCTAAGAGATGGTTGTGTGGTTTTCCCAGCAGATAATCTGTTTCTGAAATACTCTTACCAGCGCTTTCTGGCACCAACAACCAGGCATTTAACAAGCAGTTGAACAGGCGTACTCAGTAAAGTGCCTGGCAACTGTGTTTGTTTCACTTTTTAAAATTATATTTCATTATTATTATGTGTAGTCTGTGTTGCTTTGAGACTGTGCACCTCAGTTTAAAGCATGCCTTGTCTCCAGCATCGGCTCCATAGACTCAATGTTTTCTCTCCTCATTAGCTGTTTTTTTCTAATTATAATACAGTATTCCCGATTGAGTTTCACACAAACTGTTGGACAGCATAAGAAGTCTAATGTGGTTTATGCAAGGAACTAATTTTCATGTATTTCTAAAAACAAAACGGGATGTGGTTGCTATAATAACTGTGTAAGTGGTGCTTTGGTGATATCAAAGATGAAACCTCCTGTGGCAGCACATTTCTCACAGCTGATAGGATCGCAGATCTCAGTCTGAAATTTCCAGCGGATATTGATATTGACACTCAGGTCAGCTGATTAAATCGATGATATATATATATTTATATATTTATATTTGGTGGTTTTTGTTTTTGTGTCTTTAAAGAAGTTTTCTTTATTCAAAGTTTCTTGTTGGGAATCAGATATAACACAGAGGATCTACGCCCTAATAAATACAAACTGGACAGGGGTCAGAGGTCAAAGGTTACGGGACTGAAGTGCAATGACCCCAGCACAGCAGGGACATTCAGTCCTTAGAAATGTAACCCATTCTGCAGTGTGGCCTTTCTGCTACTCGCCCAGCCCCCCACTGTGTCGGTGCATGGACAGCGAGAAGGAAAATCCAATTCAGGAAACATTTCTACTTCTGCAGCAGCACACGGATTAGAAATGTGACATATGGATAAAGAGGAATGAGGGAATTTCAAAAACAACACAATAGCAGTTACAAGATTAATGTATTTGGGCAGGAGATGATTTAATTTAAATGAATACGATGTAAAACAGTTTAGAAAGAGGCTAACTCGAGACTTTACTCCAGCGCTGATGCTGTGATCGTTCAGTAGGTACCACAATGCATTGACACCCCCCACCCCCTTCCCTCCAGAAAAAAAGAGATAAAAAAAAAAAAAAAGACATTTGACAAGAATGTCTCACGGTTTTAAATTTATGTGTCAACATATTTCACACATACACACCAGTTTTAACTGTGATAGTCTAACAGTCACCACGGATGGTTTCCAGTGCTTTTATTTACAGAAAAGTGACTAGACTTCATGTTACTGTACACTTTGATATTTTTCCCTTTTTATAAATACCCATAGGGTAATAGGTCCTCAGTAGCTTTGAGTGCATTATATAGAACACACAACCCTAGGTTAATGCGTCTTTACTAGCGATACAAAACAGAGAACAAAGTACCAATTGTAACATCGAAAATAAAGGATACACCATGTTACAAAGTTACAGAAAATACATACTATATATATATATTTATATATATGTGTGTGTTTGTGTGTGTGTCTGTGTGTGTATAGATATATAGTCACAGAAAAACAGCAAAAAGGCTTGCGACAGAATACACTTTTTTTTCTTTCTAAGTCACATTGTTCATCATTTTTTTTAAAAAAGTATCCAAGATGAAGAAACCTTAACACACCCATCAAGGTCTTTCTTGAGTTTGTATCGGTCACCTGTGATGTTAAGTATCCCAGGAGAACGTTAAGGCAGTGCAGTCCATCATTATCATCATCGAGCTACAGTGCAAGCATCTGCTGCAGAGGGCTCACGACAGGATACTGCTGAGCAACAAGAGGAGACTGAGATTGTACAGCTTAGAGCACGCAGAGCCGTCAGTCGCTGGACATCACTGACGGAGGGGCGGGCGGGTTGGTGGGACCGCGTGTGCGCCCGACCTCGTGGATGAGGGAAACTCTGGCAGAGGTGTACATTCCTTAAATCGAAGGCACAGCTTGGCAGCAGCATTGCACTCTCATAATGATTTTGCTGCAATCTTATTTTGTTTTTCTTCTGTCGACTGCTGAAGAAACTTTAATAAACCTCCCCACAAGTTGCAGCCAATCATTGGATGTGATTGATGTAATGCGTGTTTTAAAATTGTCAGAACATCCACGCCGTGATTCGTTTTACCTTACGCTGGCGCATTTTACTCTCCGTTCCCTTTTTTTTTTTTTTCATGCGCTTGATTGGAAAGTGTTCACAGCTCTCAGATTTAAGGCTATTTGGCCCAGCCGGTGGTGGCCTCCCCGTTGATGTAGGCAAAGCCGGGGAAATGTTGCGAGTGTTCGTACTCTGAGTTCCTGCGTGGGCCCAGAGGTGAGTACATATCCCCAGAGGTGGCATAGCGGGACGAATGCATAGGCGGGCTGGTGTAACAGCTGTTACCTGGTGACACATCTGGCCACCGGGGGGCAACAGGCGTGGGGTGCAACCGAGGAGTGCTGCCCATCAGGCACGGCTCCATTCGGGACATCTGGCTGTTGAGCTGGTACTGTGGAGAGGAAAAGGAGGGGGATAAGTTAAGTAGAAGATGGAGCAGTACTTCTATGGTGCTGTTCGGCTTTGACTGCTATTCAAAGTGCTTTTTTTCTAGTTAGTCACTCTTCGCTGGAACCATCAGGGGCAACTCAGGGTTTGGTATCTTGTCCAAGGCCCGAAGAAGACCACCAATCTTCTAACTGGTAAACTATATCAGTCATCCCCAAGTGATGGCGAGCTTTAGAGGAGCTGTTGCGTGGCTTTTATCTTTTTCCATCCTTTATGTTAGGATACCTGATCTAACTCTCTTCCTGACAGCAAGTCATTTAAATGCTGCCCTCTTTGCGCTGCCAGAGTGATACGAACCTTAAAATTCCCTTTTCCACAGGTCTCGTGGTCCTGAAAGGTGACCACGACCCGGCCGATATCTCATTTGATGCTGTATTAAGCATAAAATATTGGATTTGAACTGACCCTGCCGCTGGTAATTTCCTGTCATGGGAAATTGCTTCACAAGTTGTGGCACAGTGGTCAAAATAGAAAATTAAGCCACTTAAGAAAATGAGGGTTTCACCCAAAAAAGTGCTTTTTCTGTCTCCCTCCTTGTGTGTGCGTGCATGTGTGTGATCTGTTGCCTGTGGTGACTGACCTCAAACAGACCAAATCTGCCTGTTGACAAAAATATTTTGGACAGATGGGGATCCGGCAAAGTTTTCAGACCGTTTCAGCTCCATGTCCAACCTCTCGCAGTGACAAAGTGCAGGCATTGTGCCCTATTTAAGCTCAGACGGGGCTAAAAAAAAAAAAAAGTGGAAGTAGACCCTTTCCCCTTTTTTTAACTAAATATAAACACGACAGTCGAAGCCATTATGAGGGATCACGGCATGGAAAAAGACAGTCAGTGCAGAACAGGCGGCTCAGCTGCCTCTTGTTCACAAGCAGAAAAGAGACCATTGAATAACAATATTTTAATAAACGCCCCCTTGCCCTGCTCCGTGGCCACTGGCTCAGACAGATGAAGAGACTATTGAGAGCTGGAAAGAGAAGTAACAGAGCAAGGCCCCCTCTTGGCCCCGGCCGAGCCACCTTTCACTGTCTGCTTCCGCTGTGTGGAGAGGGTGATTCAGGGACTTTTAGAAACACTGCGAGCGCTGAGGCCCAGCTGATCTCCTCCCTCTATAAAGGCAGCAGAGGCTGGAGGACCCTTGACAGGAAATTGCCACCAAAAGAGTAAAACTCACTCGGTAACATCAGCGGCTCCATCTCATTCTAATAACCTTTCTTTTCTTTTTCTTTTCTTTTTCTTTTTTTAAATAGCATCATATTTAAATCTATTTATTCCCCTAAAAGGACAACTCAGTCAGTTCATCCTCACATTTAGTTTAGCAGATGCTACATATTTTTTAACACGTAGTATCAGCCTCATATAATGCATAAAGTTTAAGTAGCAGTTAGGCATCACACATTCACACAAGGTA